GTGAGTGAAGAGAAGCACGCTGACACAATAATGGTCAGCTAGTGCTGTGAAAAAAGTAGGACAGACAGACAGACAGACAGACAGACAGACAGACAGACAGACAAACAGACAGACAGATGGAAAGTGAAGAAGTAGGATATATCAGTAGTATCAGTACCCCCCTCCAACCACCCGCGAGTGTTCACTAAAACTGAACAAATGTTTCAAGCCATGAACATAAGTACATATTTGAGGTGTGTTTTATGTGGTAGTTTTATTGGAACAACAACACATGTGCAATACAATAACAACAACAACAGATAATTGAAATCAGTCAATTTACACGCACACGCATTCAAACACCACACACGCACACACACACACACACACACACACACACACACACACACACACACACACACACACACACACACACACACACACAAATTATACGTAAATATAACTCCGGCAAATTTGAAATGATCCGATGTCCGAATAAACAACAACGAAAACAGTACTTTTCACACAAGTAAGACCGGGGCCAGTGATGAAGCACTTTGCCGTCTCATCTCTCACCTCCCACCCCCCCCCCCCCTTTTTCCCCTTGAAAAAAAAACCCAAGACAAACCCACGAAAGAAAATATTAGGTGGTCCAATTCCCAGTTGGCCTATCCGTCACAATTTCCATCTACATCTTCACCCCTATCAAACCTCTTTGGATAAATTAAACTAACAAAAATGAATTCTCCATGAAATAAACTTCATATTAGATCTATGTTAATACAATAGAATGCTTAGAAAATTAAACAAAATCGTTTTTACACCCCCCATCATAATTATTTACATAATAATTATTTATGAGGCGGGCTTCGACCTTACGTGTCAGGGTCAACCCAGGAAGAGAGGTATACAACGTCCCAGCAGAAAGACCGAGATACTCCCACAGAATTCTACACTTAGCCAATAATGCAAAACAAAGTAAACAAGAGTGGAACTGGCATATGTTTCCTGAATATATGTTCAAAGTCATTTTCTGTGTGTTGGGAGTGTGATTTCTAATGCATGAATGAGAGGCTCATTCAGATGTGATAATGAAGAGACTTGTGTCTACAGTCACAACAGAAAGAGTTCCATGGCGAGTGATCACTGGTCAAGGATTTCAGAGCTGTGTGCATTTTGAGAAAAATGTACCCCCTTATTTTGGATCACATGTCGAGGGGATGGGCTTGTCCCCCTGTAATCCCCGCACACAGTAAACAAACACATATTTTGGAACACGAACAAGAAAAATAAGTGGTCTCTTGTTACGGATCAAATTGAAGTCCTGTTTCAATTCGATTAATTGATAAAAGTGCGTATCGCAATGCGTTGGCCACCCCTGCCCTATAGGCCTATATGCTATTTAATAAATACATTCGTCAGACCTGGAATCTTTAATGTCCGCACACAGTAAACAAACACACATTTTTGAACACGTATAAGAAAAAATAAGTGTTGTCTTGTTACGGATCAAATCGAAGTCCTGTTACAAATCAATTAATTGATAAAAGCACGTATCGCAAGGCATCGGCTAACCCAGCACTATTACGCTATTTTATAAATACATTCGTCAGATCTGGAATCTTTAATCTTTAATTTTTAATCCCCGCACACAGTAAACAAACACACATTCATGAACACGTATAAAAAAATAAGTGGTCTCTTGTTACGGATCAAATTGAAGTCTTTTTACAATTCAATAATTGATAATAGTGCGCATTGCAATGCATTGGCTAACTCAGCATTATAAGCTATTTAATAATACATTCGTCAGATTTGGAATTTTAAATTATAATCATAATCATATGTGCCAGCGCGTGGGAAGTGAAAGTGAAAGGAATTGAAAATGCTTTCAAAAACAAAAACATAATTAAAGTAGGACTACATGTGCTTATAAAGGCCCAAAAAGGTGTATGGATGCGGAAATTAATGTTTCGGATGAAAATAATACGCTATCTTCACTACTGTAGCATGCAGTCAAAAATTTGATGCGCAACTTATTATCAAATATCTAGGCTACTGAACTATCAAACACCTAGATCTAGATTCTCCTACTTTTACACAATGACTTAGATCTATATCAATTCGTCTTAACCGATGAGTATTTTTTTTTTAAATTTGTACACATCTATAGGTTCTATATTATTCTAGAAATTTCTTTAAAGAAAATTCTTTAATAAATACTAGCCCAATATTAGAAAAAAAATCCCAGTCAATGGTTTCTACAGATTTTTAAAAAGTTTATAGCTGGAGCTAAATCTCTTTTAAAAGCAAGTCCGTCCTTTTTTCTACTTCTGCTGGCGACATAAAGCTAATTATTGAACGCATGTTTTGAGAACATTAATAAGATCTAGTGAAAAAATATGTTCAGTGAAAAAACATTTCTTGTAATAAGTTTTACTACTAAAAAACTACGTAGGCCATATGCGTATGCAAAATGTGTGTGGGAAGCTAGAAGTGCTATGAATTTTTTTCAGTTCTGTAGATCTTATATATATAAACTCTCTATGTCTGCTTTTTCTGTTGTTGCACTCCAAAACACAACAATTTAAAACCTTAATTCCAATCTCTAGTTGCACAGTGAATTCTGTAACTCAAAATTACAAACTGGACAGTAAATGTTCCACTTTTCACTCGTTTGTAAAAGCGGCTCTTGCTTTAAAAGCTATAGGGTTACTTCCGAAAACGATAAATCGTGCCCTCAAGACGCCATTGTTTTCGGTCTTCAATTCCTCACAGGTCACGTGGTACAGTTCCCGTTCTATAAGTGTAGAATTCTGTGGATACTCCATAAAAATTCTCCCCAGCTTTCAATCAAACTCGCGTCTTCTAAGTATGAAAACGAAGCGCCTAACCGCTACACCACAGAGGCCACAGGAGTTACAACAGACCAACGAAAGACTATTCAAATAACGCTACAAGTATATCTAAATGTCAGTCTCTTAGCTATCTTCAGCTGGATGTAAGTCGGTGAGATGGAAAGACAAAAAGTTATGTCGGCCACCTGTTAAAATTTGGAAAGACCAAAAGTCTGCACTTTTTAATTCCAGTTTCTTAATCTGTCGGAACGGTTACATGTGTTCAAGAAATCTTTCATCGAAATGTTGCTTCTAAATGTTGAAATAAAGCTTAGAAAAATATTCAAGGCACGTACATTTGTTTAAAGAATGAAATAGTTGTTTTTTTCTTTTCTTTCCTCTAAATTGTAGCATTCTGAGCTAGAACGTTTGAAGAGTTTACCGACAACAAGCTCTGCCGTGCGAGCACTTTCCTCTCACCCCGGTGATGTCCTGATGAAGGGCCAAGAACTCCAATTTCGACATGACATATACGCAAACAAAAGAATTAAATACTGTCAGTGACAGGGGCGAAGGCTGACTTGTTTGACAGGGTAATCAAAGTGAAATGTGACCAGATAGGGCCTGGAGATATCACACTCACACAAGTCACAAGAATCTTACTGGCACTGGAGGCGGCAACTCTGAGTTGTGAATGAAAACAAATCCTGAATTCATGTTGTATGCTTGTTCAACCGCTAAAATAATCGGGAAAGTATTTCATTAAATATTTATTCTAACTAACCTTAAATTTAACTTTAGATTTGAACACACGAACACCATGGAAAGAAGCACAGATGTCAGCACTACAATGGCATGTTATACCAGACAGCCGAAATACTTTGGTAGAGCACGCCAACTATCAATTTTTTATTTCACATTTGGCTGTTTTTTGTCTAGCTTTTCGCAGCCAGGAGCCGCTGTCATAATCGAGGTCACGATCTGATTATAGGACGTTAAAAAGTCGAGGAAAAAAACAAGCACTAGCAGTGTAGTAGCAGGAGTCAAAGGATTATTAGGAGTTAGTTCCCCTCACATGTGTGAGGTAGACTCGACCAGTGTAATAGTTCGCTTAGATAATCAGCGCGTCTGGGTGCTTATAACTGTGGCCCGAAAGGGGTGAACAAGGTATATGCGACAATGAAACAGTTCTGACTGCTATGCACATGTTCCCTCCAAATCCATTGGTTGACTCTTCCAGCCTCACTTTAAGCTTACTTAATCAAAGCTTGTGACTGCTTATGGAGTGGCCCGATAGAGGCGAACAGGCTATTCATGTGGCAATGAAACGGTTTTGAAGGTTAGGCATAGTCTATTGTTCATTGGTGATTATGAACGTCTTTTTACATTTAATTTATGAGGTTTACGTCTATGGGTGAATTTGACTGCGACAATGTTTCAAAATCAGGAAGGGAAGCAATGATTATTTGATTATATAGACACTTCGCCTCTGGTCAGTGATCACCGTAAAGACATTTGGGTTACAAAGGCAAGAAGCCAACAATGCACACATTATATTATAATTCAGAGTAGGCATTGGCGCCACATAATACTCTTAACCCATTACATGTAATACAAATCATTTTATAAATTAGAGTCTATATGATTTTGCCGGTAGCCACTGCACTGTGTCCTGTTGTTGTTGTTGTTGTTGTTTTTTGTTATGTTGTTGATTTCATTTGTTTATTTAGGTTTGCTCAAAGGCACACCCCGTTGACCACCCTCTAAATATTTCACTAGCATTGCTTGACTTTATTTGTTAGGCTGGGATCTTTAAGGGCCCGGACAAAATGTCTCTAGTGCGACATTGTAGTCTTCCTTCACCGTAGCAGAAAGTTTAAAAGACCTTAGTGATTTCAGAAGAGGATGAGAAGGTATCATCAACCCATCTCCCCCTGCTCTTATCTATTTCAAATTTTGCCAACTGTTGAAATTATGATTTTGTTGGTTTGTTTAAGTGAGCATTTGCCTCACGGCATCATTGACACACTTCGGCCATAAAAAAGCCGTTAAGGATCTTCAGGATTAGCAAAAACAAAACAAGCAAACAAACAAAATAACGTACGGAATAAACCATTGATTGTGTACCATTTTAACAGGCCTCTACCAACTTGAAAATAGGTGAATGACACAAAAGAAGAAAGGGAAGAGTTAACATTACTTGTTTATTCAGAATCACCGTTTACATTTAGGTACATATTCAATACATGTACAAAAAAGTGCAAAGGTTTCTCTTTCTTGAATGTGTTGGCAAGATGGCTGAAAGCTGAGAAGTGATCGTAACTGAACTAGATCTAGACCTACATGTATTCTACTGTCATATTCTTACCTGGTCACAAAATAACTACCAAATATTGGTGACCTTGAAAAAGTGTTATCAGAAATCTTCCTGCATTATGGGGCGGGGAAAAAACTGCCATTTTAGCACAATACGACAGATTCGCCTTGCAGCCCTGAAAAACACATGCGTTTGGTTCTGCCATCTGCTGTGCTCCTCTGGCCAGTTTGAGAACGTCCAGCTTAAAGCTTGACAAAGTAGGGAGACTCTTGCTCTTGCTCGTGGTCCTTCAAAAACTGAAATGAAGAACGGTAAAGCCACATGCAGTCAGTGTCATTTTCTCGTGGTTAGGAGTAAGCAAAAACCTCATTGTTGTTTGCCACTTCCAAGGAATTGAGCAAAGAAAGAGCAACTACATTTTTAAAACATCACTTTTAACCAATCCCTGTTCACCAAAAGCGGCTCAAAAACTCAATACAACACCTTTACAGTAAGCAGACGGCAGACAGTACTGTCTGCACAGTAGGCGTTTGCTCAACCGTTAAACTGTCCCAAACAGACTGGGCGTGTCTCCTCATCTAGAAGCTTCTTCAGCTCGGTTTCCTCAACAGTGTGCTTGGCTTATTCTAAAAATATATCATTGGCACTAAGCTGAGCCCTAGTTCTAGCGGGGAGAGTGCGTCAGCGGTCAAGATGTACTTTTGCTTCTACTAATGAAGAAGCTGAAGAAGAAGGAGAAGAAGAAGAAGCAGAAGAAGAAGAAGGAGACGGAGAAGGAGAAGGAGAAGGAGAAGGAGAAGGAGAAGGAGAAGGAGAAGAAGACGAAGAAGAAGAAGAAGAAGAAGAAGAAGAAGAAGAAGAAGAAGAAGAAGAAGAGGAGGAGGAAGGGGAAAGAGAAGAAGAAAAAGAAGAAGAAGAAGACGAAGACGAAGAAGAAGAAGAAGAAGAAGAAGAAGAAGAAGAAGAAGAAGAAGAAGAAGAAGAAGAAGAAGAAGAAGAAGAAGAAGAAGAAGAAGAAGAAGAAACTACCACTAAAAGCTAAAGAATGACACCCCTAGGGGGTTATTGGGTGCAAGTAAAGTCGAGCAAACAATTGGTCATTGTTGATAAAGAATCTGAACATGAAATGGTTGAGCTGACCATCTTTTTTTTAAATCTGTCTGTGTTTTACGCCCTCAACGACACAATTACAATTTAAACCATTCAGGTGGCAGGTTTCCGACCCTGTCTGTCAAGGAATACGCGGATTGAGAGGGATACCATAAAAATGATCAATGCTATCGAGATTCTCGCTGACGATTCTCCCCACTTGGGAGTCGAACTCGGGTCTCTTGCGTGCGACGCAAAGCGCCTAACGCTACACCACATATGCCAGTGAATAAGTTTAGAGTACAGTTTGAGTCTCGTAACTGTTTTTCGGCGCTCGCAACTTCTGCATAAGGTTCATATGAGCGTGCGGGACTCAACAACTACAGTACAAATTGACTAATGTTCACTAACCGGCTTGGAGAACTCGTCCAGACAACTCATCCGGCACAGGCTAGGTATGGCCGGAGCGTCCAGTGTGAAGTGACCACTGTGTCCGACCTGTGTCCGTGCCGCTCGGACCGCCGACTTGACCGCCAGGAAGGCTGACGTGGCCAGACACAGAGGCGGCTCTCCGATTGCCTGAAGGTATATAGGTGGAGATGGAGACGTGAGATAGAGTCTGCTGTGTACAAAAGTGGAGAGGATGGTATGTGATATGTAAGGTAGATTCTGCAGGTATACGGGTGGAGATGGAGACGTGAGATAGAGACTGCAAATATACAGGTGGAGAAGGAGATGTGAGATAGAGACTGCAGGTATGCGGGTGGAGAAGGAGATGTGAGATAGTGACTGCAGGTATACGGGTGGAGAAGGAGATAGAGACTACAAGTACCCAGGTGGAGAATGTTGTGAGATACAGTTTGCAGGTATACAGGTGGGGGTAGAGAGAGCAGGTATACAGGTGGAGATAGAGATGGAGATGTGAGACATTTTTTGTAAGTGTTTTATGGCGCTCGCAACTGCGTAAGGTCATATGAGCTCACGGGACACATTAAACTTTTTCAGATGGTAGGAAATTGTGAATTTTTGCCCGGGTGGCGGACGAAGCCTACTCTTATCGACTTTAGACCACCAAGGGATCTTTAACGTGCGCAACTTGCACACGGGCCCTCCGAAACTTTTCGCCCTTGTCCGAAAAGGCAAGGTGTAGATCTTTCCTACCAGTAGATCAGGGGTGTGGCTGAAAGATAGCAGTAAGAAGGAGCCAAGGAGTAGCATTAGAAAGGCTGCAGAAAGAGACAGGAGCCCAGAGGAGGGGACAAAGGAGGTGAGAGGCGGGGGCAGAAAGAGGAGACGAAAGCAGGCGACAGAACATTGCTAGAGGAGGTGAAGGGAGGCCATTTTAGAGAAGAAAATAAATTATTCGGTCGCTACCCGGATTCGAATCCGGGACTTTAGAATGAGGGGCCAATACCTTAACCTCTACTCCACGAGAGCCCCCGATGTGAGACAGAATCTGATCTGCAGGTATACAGGTGGAGAAGGAGATGTGAGATAGAGTCTGCAGGTATACGGATGGGGAGGTTGGTACGTGATATGTGAGGTAGATTCTGCAGGTATACAGGTGGAGATGTGAGATAGAGTCTGCTGGTATATAGGTGGAAAAGGAGATGTGAGATAGAGTCTGCTGGTATATAGGTGGAAAAGGAGATGTGAGATAGAGTCTGCAGGTATACAGGTGGAGATGGAGATGTTAGATAGAGACAGTAGGCATACAGGTGGAGATGTGAAGTGTGAGGTAGATTCTGCAGGTATCTAGCAACTGCGTTTGTTGCCATTTTTTGTCCAAAAGTTGCCACAAAAATGGCAAAAAGTTGCCAAAAAGTTGTCATTGATTTTCAAGCTTTCAGCTCTCTCTGACGACGTATATAGCAATACGCTGCTAGAGACAACTTCATCTAAAACACCAGAATTTCTTGTGCTCTGTTTTAAGCATCCAGGATATCATTTGCAGCCACACAGAGTGTTTAGTTGTAGTAGAGGTTTTACGGCGCTCGCAACTACATAAGGTCATATGAGCGCCAGAAGATTAGAGGTGTTACAAGACAGTAACAAACATAAAAGGAAGAAGGGGAGATAAGGACGATAGATGTTTCATTGGAAAGAAGCAGCAAACTACACCAGTGCACCCGCCAACCACCCACACACAGAGTGTAAAAACGTGAAAAATAAAGGTTGCACAACAGCATGAAATCGAACTAGAACAGCAAATAAACAACCACACAAATTAACAAATAAGGACGTGTGTCAATCCATCCATAGACTGGCCGTTTTAACCCTAAACGCGTGAAATTTTTTTCTTAAGTACAGGATGTAACATGTAGATCAGGGAATCACACACAAGGGGCCTGCCAGTGTCAGTATTCGTTTTTTGGTGGAGACACGCTGTAACATAACTATAACACATTTTTTTAAAGGTAGGAAGAACATTACGCTTTATGAACACACACACAAAGAGAAAAACAACATATCTGAACAATAACGAGAAAAAAATTAATTAAAACACCATCAAAATAAAACACAACAAAGATAGAAACATGAAAGAGAAACAGCAATATAAGTAGTATGTAATGTAGACTACTTATATTCTTCACATGAAAATAACAAATCAACGTAGTGTTGACAAGTGAAAAAGAGACGAAGTGAAGCGAAAGTGAAAATAAACTTTCTTTCTAAAAGTAAAGAGGTTTGGATTTTTTTTTTCACGAATATTATTCCCAGTTTTCGTTGTTGCTGTTTTTAAATAAATTTTTCTTTCCGGGGGTGGATTTTTGTTGGAAAAATGCAAAAATCGCGGCCGCGATTCGCGGACCAAAAAATGCCAAAAATCGCGGCTGCGACAAACGCAGATGCTAGAGGTATACAAGTGGAGGAGATAGTATGTGATATGTGGGGTAGATTCTGCAGGTATACAGGTGGAGAAGATGACATACAAAACATGAAAAATCCTATCTCATTTAAATGATGAGCGAAGACACAAAATATCTTGTTAGCTCCCAGTACTTGTACTTGTATACAACTAATAATAGCACACGCTAGCTCTGGGCTTTCACTGATAATATTCAGATCAAACTAGGCAATAAAAGAATTGAATTATCTTTCTTCCTGTTACGTGTAGAGCAAAAGAAAAAAGAAAAATAAATATATATACATTTTTTTTTTGTAAGTCGCTAAAAACAGAAGAAAATATCAAACAATGGCAAAAGCAAGCAATTACTCAAAATAATGAATAGCAAAGTACAGTAGACCGTAATACAAATTTAACTGCTGTCAGAAAAGCGAAGTCAGATAACAACCCCCCCCCCCCCCCAAAAAAAAAAAAAAAAAAAACTAAGCTAAGAGAACATTTGACAAACTGAAAAGAAATACCGATCAGAGAAGCAAACAGATATAGACAGAGTTATAAGTAACAGAAAAGTAGAACCTGTCCCCACGTTGAAGAATCTGGCGTGCACTCTGATGTAGTGTGGTGTGCTCCTTCTTTACTATTAAACATCTATTATCCTTACCTTTCTTCCTTTTTTCTTTGTATGGTACTCTCTAGTAACACCTCTAATCTTCGGCACTTACATAACCCGTTTGTGTAGCATGTGCCGTAAAACTAAACTAAACTAAACTAAACTAAACTAAACTAAACTAAACTAAACTAAACTAAACTAAACTAAACTAAACTAAACTAACCTATAGTGGGGTCAAAAATTTGTGGCGCTACTTATCCTCAGATATCTTTATAACTGGTGAATCAATGTCACCCATACGTTGCACAGCAGTTTGTCTCAATTTGTATTAACTTAATCATATTTTTCCATAAATGTATACAAAATACTACAAACCTCTTTCACGCGGAAAATAGAATTGTTCACATCACTTCCCGCTTCTCACACATTTTGTATGCGCATATGGGCAGAGACAGCGAATCAGAATTTACTGTCTCTGATATGGGTTACGTCACAGCTCACCAATGACACTTTTTAGTGGCAAAACTAGTTACAAGAAATTAATTCTATAGTAAACACTTTTTTGCTCTAAAAGTTCTCAAAACATGCGTTCAATAAAGATAATATCGCGATTTTTAAAAAATGACGGACTTGCTTTTTAAAAGTAGAAACCACCCACTAGGATTTGTTATTAGTATTTATCAAGCAATTTTCTAGAATAGAGCATGTGGGTTTTTACAAAAATGTTGATCTGTTAAGACAAATTGATACAAGTCACTGTGCAAAAGCTGGAGAGTTTATGTTCGATAGTTGAGGAGATATATTTTGACAATAGGTTGCGCCACAAATGTTTTTTACTTTGACCGCACTATAAACTATGCTAAGCCAATGATAGTACATAACAAGATAATTCACTCCTCTCTTTGAGCCAATTAAAAAAGCGTCCTCAAAATCCGGTGGCGCCCTCTTCGAAAAAGCGCACCCTTTGCGAACAGAGTAACCCTACTTGTGTGAAAAAGGTCAAAGTGAAACTAATAAGTTTTTGAATAAATTAGAATTCAAATTTCGGAAGAACCCTTTTTTTTAATGGTTACGCTGACGAAAAAAATATCTTCCGGTGGAAGAGGCGACTGTTTTCTTCGTTTTATTAGACTTTAGAATGAGAGGCGAGGGGTCATTAAATTTTTGTTTAACCCTAAAACTCCGCACTGAACGAACCCGAACAACTGATGAACAGCAGTCGACCTGCGCACGCAAGGGGGCGCTATTCCTATTCTTTTTCTGGAGAAACGAAAGAGAGCTTCAAAACAAAGACCAC